GGAAAGGAAAGGGGAGGGGGGGGGGCGCGGGGTTGATTAATGCTCCGGTGGCCAAGTCCAATTTTTTTCCACAATCATGAGTGGCATACCTCCCCAAAGAAGGTCCCATCAGGAACGGCCCGACATGTGCAGCCGCATCGCGACATGAGCCTCGCATCGACGAACGCGTTCCATGCCATGAAACCCTGTTCAGATCCGCAACCCCAATCCGGTTCTTCCCGCAACCGCCGCTCCCTTGCCACGCTCCGCCAGACGTTGAAAATACGTGGATCTCCACACTACATAGTATACAGGATGACAGGATACAAGGACCCGAAGGACGTAAAAAAGGTGTCGGTCAACCCTCATATTAGCTGGACTTCAAACCTTTGCCGCCATATCTCTTATCCCAATCACAAGAGCCAAGTCCACAATGCCACAAAGGCAGCCAAATAAAGAACAACACACGTTCTCACAATAGGTCCGGAGAGCGGCGGCTTGTTGCATTGCGCATCTCGAAGCGCCTCCAGTTCGACATCCGACAAACTCGGGCGCCCCGCGGCGGAAACGACGCGCTCGTAGCCACGCACCGGTGCGTCCATCGCATCCCACCACGTCTTGTTCAGCGCACAGTGCTGTGCGCGTTGACCCATCGTCGCACGCAGCGTCCGGTCGCGAATGAGGCGCTCCAGGAGAATGCTGTAAGCCTGGGAGCACTGCTGGAACGACTGCGAGCCAGCAGCCATCGCGTCTGCGAACTGCTTCACGCTGAGGATCGGCGTGTTGAGTCCCGGCTGGAGCTTCAGCGATGCCGCCACCGGGACCGCGCGGCTGCTCGAACTCGGAGGCTGCGTGGGCGGCGGCGTAGTCTCAGATGCTGGCGCGGCCCGTACATCTGCGCTGAGGTGGTCTAACAGCGACACGCTGCGCGCAGATGCATGGTGCCTGCGCGCGTTCGCTTCCGACGGCCGCGCACCGGCGGCAGAGCGCGAGCCGGCAGCGGTAGACGGCTGTGCCACCACACGCTGCACGTCAAGGAGAAGACCCGTTACGCCATGGCAGACGAGATCCGAAGTGCCGTCCGCATGCAGACCGACAACAGGGAGGCCCGACGCGAGCGCCTCCAGGACGACCTGGCCAAATGTCTCGGTGAACGAGGGGAACGCAAAGATGCTGCTGCTCGCAAACATGGACGCGAGGCGCTTGCCCTTCTGGTGCCCCATAAATGCAGCGTCCAGGCCATATCTGGCGCAGAGACGCGTAAGCTCTGCGCGCGCAGGACCATCGCCGACGATGACTAGCTTCGCATTGTCGCGCACCGCCGCGGGGAGCAGACGGAACGCCTCGATGAGAAGACGGATGTTCTTCTCCCAGCTAATCCGTCCGACGTACAGGACGACTGCTTTGCTGTCGCCACTGCAGGCGCCCGGTGCACCATGCGCACTGGCGACCGCCGGTGCGACCGACGGCGGCAGTGCGAAACTCGACGCCGAGAGCGGCGGCAGTCCACTGACGCTCTCGTAACTCGGCGGCGGACTGAGCTCCGGGGACATCATCGGCAGCGTCTCGGGTGTGCGGATGAATGCGTCGCGGCGCGCCATGGACTCCTTCGCGTTGCTCACGGCCTGATCGTGCAACGTATTGAGGAGCGCGAGCGACTTTGGCTTGCATCCCCACCCCGCGCGCAGATTCTCATCGCGCGCCTCCGGGTTAAACATGGCAGTGTCCACGCCGCGACTCCAGATCTCCACGTTCTCAAACCCTTTCTCCCGCAGCATGCGGCGTGTGCCCTCGCTAGGGCAAAAGACGATCTCGCATTGCCCATGGAGCAGGCGCGTGAGCCACCACATTGGCCGTTCCAGGAACGGCATGCCAAACAGCGATGCATACGTCGGCAAGTTCGTGTGGTACGACGACACGCACGGAACCCCTGGCAGCACGCGCTTCACCGCCCATATCATCTGCGCACCAAGCCAAATCGGATCGACAAAGTGCACCACGTCCGGTCGAAACTGCTGCAGGCGGCGGATAAACCGGAGCCGCATGAAATTCAGCTTCAGGCCCGGATACACCATGAGTGGCACGCCAATCGTGCCGACGACGGCATGCCCACAGTACTCGGTCAGCCCAGAGTCCGGGCCGAGGACAAGGGCCTCGTGCCCCTCATCGTGAAGATGCTCCAGCAGCCGTGCAAGCGTGCGCGTGACGCCGTCAATCTTCGGGAGGAAGTTCTCTGTCCCCATTAGCCCGCCGCGCGCGACGCCACCCACCAGTCACAATCGCCACCCGTAACTTGCGGCGCTTGCGGTCCGCCGAGCACGGGTACGAAACCGCCTGGATAGCGGCATCTTGCTCAAACAAGCTCATAGCGCTCACCACAGCACGGGATGGGATGGACGCGGTTCGACACAGAGCGCGGCTGCTGTACGGTGTACGTCCACCGCCCCGGTTCCACGCCAAGGCAGCCTTGGGTGTGGGCGAACGTGCGCCCCTGGAATCGCCGACAAATTCGGCATGTGGCGGCGCACGTGCGCTGTGGTGGGACGCGTGTCCAATAAGCGGGCGCACGCGGCCGGTTTGTTTCATGCGCATAATTCCGACGCGTCCCTTCAGACGCGCCACCACGCGTCGCGTCGAGATGGATTTCACGGCGGCGTATCAGCATGCGTCCGTAGACTGCATCGCGTTCTCACCGGGATCCACGTTTGTCGCGTACATTGCGGGACACGTGGGGAATGCCGTCCTTGTGCGTGTCTCCGGCACGCTACAGGTCGTCCGTTCCTGGGAGCTTGACCAGCCGTTGCACTCGCTCCAGTGGTCCCAGGACGGCCTCCTACTCCTGGCGAGCTCATTAAACCGGTGCGAGTCCTCGGCCGCGATGCGCCGGACCAGCGGTGTGTCCTACGTGCTGCCGCTCGACCCGGACGCATGTCTCCCCGACGGATCCGATGACCAGCGCGGCTGGGTTGCCCGCATCGACGCTGGCGTCCAGGGCCTCCACTCGGCTGCGTGGCTCCCTGTGTGGCGCATTCCTTCCATCGTCCAGTTCGCGCCGTTTGACGTGCGTATCTGGTTTGTGTATGTTCACGCGGCAGGTTGGCGGCATGGTGTATACCCTGAGTGACAAGACTGTCACCCCAGTGCCAAATACGGTGCTTCAAAATGGTGAGTGGGGGGGTGAGGAGGGGGGATGGAGTGGGGAGGTTGATGGGGTGTCGAACTATTTTCCGCACGTCGCACCTTGGACATTTTTACAGGACGCCATCTCGATGGAGAGTCCCCTTTTTCCCCTCTTTCCCAATATTTCAATCCCTCCCTGCGGTCCCTTTTTCGCGCCCCCTTCCCCACGTGCCCTCCCTCGCACCCCCTCCCCCACTCCTCCCAGCCCCGCCCCTTCTCCTTTGTCTGCCCCCCCCCCTTAATGGCACTTCTTTTGTACCATACCCGATTGCGCCGGCGCATCCCCCCATTTTTACCAACACCTCTCCACCTGTACCCACCCAACCCTCCCGCCTTCACCTCCACATCCCCGCTGACACGCAGTGTATTCCAACCCCTTGTGGCCGAACCACTTTGCACTTGTTCAGCGCAACCGCGAGCACGACTATTTGACACTGTACACTCCGAAACCGTTGGAGGCCGGATCTGCGGCACATCCCGTGGAATGGTTCTGCGAAAAAGTGCGCGAGGCTTGCGCTGTTCTCACCTGCAGTCGATTCGCCTGCACACGAATCGCGTGCAGGGCGTTGCATGGAGCCCGAGTGGGGACTACATTGCAGCATGGGATCACAACGTTGAGTTCCGCGTCTGCGTGTATTCTCTGGGTGGCACACACCTCACCACTGTGTGCTTGGCACCGGATGCCAAGTTCGATATACCCACTTCGCGCATCCCCGTATCGGCGGCCGAGTGCCAGGCAGCACTCTCTGGCCCGCGTTCATCAGTCGGCCGCGCGCGCCGCGTTGCAAAGGAGTGCGCACCAGTGGCCGCTAGGCGCGGACCGCTTTTGGCACGCGTCGCGGGTGGAGGCCTAGGCGTGCGCAACTGCGTATGGCATCCGTCAAGCTTGTTTCTAGCGGTGGGCGGATTCGACGAAAAGGTGCATTGTCTTGTGCGCATGCTGACGTCCAGATCCGGATCCTCTCAGCGGAAGACTGGTCTGTCGCATACACATTGGATCTTTCGTCAAAGCACGCGCTTGCACAAAAAGGACGAGTGGAAGAGAATCAGCCGACGGTACGCGCATTATGACGCCCTCATCTCACCGACGAGGTTTGGCTAGAACCACGCAACTGGTTGGAAGCGACGCACGGAAGAGGCATCGTCTCACGTGGGTCTTGGACGCGGATGGCACTCACTTGCGCAGTGGAGCAGACGGTGCTGCCTGTGGATCCACCGCAGAGTTCCAGCACGCCAGATGCGCCGCCGAAGAAGGGGGTTTGCTGGATGGAATGGAACCACGACGGGACTCTTTTGGCGTGTCGCAATGGTGCGTGAGGCATCCTAAGAAGAAGTGTTTCCTGACAGTGTCGCGCAGAATCTCTCCCGACGACCATGTTTGTGTACGAGTTTGTGCGGCTGCAGGGGCGCGCCACCGACGCACGTCTTCGTCTCTGCGCGGTTGTCGTGTTAGCCGCGCCCATCACGGCGGCGACATGGAAGCCAGGCTCGTCGCACGTGCTCAGCTTTGTGGACGGAGGCCGCTCTATGTACATGTGGACGGGACCTGATGAGCATGCGGATGTCCCGGTACCTCGAGCGGATGCTGCCCAGCAGGGAGCGGAAGCGATCGCGGTGCCGAACGGTGCGAGGCTGGCGGGGGAGAGTCTGACAGCAGACCACTTTTCTGCGCACCGGATTACGTGGGCACCGGACGGTCACTCCGTTGTGCTCTCCGATCGACACACGTTCTGCTGTGCGGTGACGGCGCCGGCCGACGACACCGAGGTCCAGGGTGACCTTGCAGCGTAATGCAGTGCGGAGCTATTTAGTAGCACAATGGTCCACAGAAAGTGATCTGTGGGCGCGTGGTGGAGTGGTTACCACGTCCGCTTTGCACTGAACGTATCAGCGGTAGGTCGCGGGTTCAAATCCCGTCGTGTCCATTTTTCTTGCTTTCCTGGCCGGCGAAAGGTCACGTGTGTCGGCGTTGCGCCGGCAGCCGCGTCTCGCCAGAGGTTTTCCCATCGATTGCCATGTACGCTGATCGCGAGGAGGCGCTGCGTAGCTCGTCTCAGCGCGCAAACGCAGCTCATTCCGACTCTCTTTCGTCGCCGACCACGGCAGACGCTGCGGCACGTGAGCGCGAGTTGCACGAGCAGCTGCGACGTCGTATGGGGGACCCTCGCCGTTCCGGTCCACCGCCGCCAGAAACGCAGGGCGGAAGGCCACCTTATGAAGCGCACGACAGGTCATCGCGCCGACGTGGGGATGAACGCGATGCGTATGGTGCGCCCTATTCACCTGCCCGTGACGACCGCGTTGCGGGCGACTCCGAGGACCGGCGGCGCGATGTGCGAGGATATTCTGACCGTGGCGGCACTGGCGGCAGGGAGTATGAGGGAAGGGCATACCCGCGTGGGCGTGGGGGATACGATGAGCCGCCGGGCCGTGCTGGCTACGATGACCACCCCCCGCGCCCCGCGCGCGGTGGATACGATAGGGCTCCGCCGCCGCCCTATCGCAGGGGGTACGAACGCCGCTACGACGACCGGAGTCCGTCGGGTGGCGGCTGGGCGCGGCCCCGGTACGATCGAGACGACAGGTATCGGAGCCGGAGTCCCGCACCGCGTGACGCTCATGCGCGTCCATCGGATTACGAGCGCCGCTCCGTGTTCTGCAGCAGCCTGGCGTTTCGCGCAGGACAGCTCGACCTTGGTGAATTTTTTGAAGAGCACCTAGGCGAAGGCTCCGTCGTAGACGCGCGCGTCTCGATCGACTACAAAACAGGGAAGAGCCGTGGGTACGTGCAGGAATCAGGAGGCGTAGGGTGCTGACACACGCCAGCTTTGGGTATGCAGAGCTTGCGAGGGAAGACCTGGTGCCGAAGGCGACGGAGCTGTCTGGCAAGGCGCTGTTTGGCGTGCCGATCCATGTGCAGCCGAGCTCCGCGGCGCGCCAGTACCTGGAGAAACTGGAAGACCAGGTGTATCCACGGCCATCGGATGCGCAGGACGCCCGTGGCGCGCCTGGCCCACGCGGTGGTGGCGGTCGTCCGCCGCATGGGAGCTCGGCTGCGCGACTGTACGTCGGAAACCTGAACTACGACATCGCGAGTGACCAAGTCCGTGCAGAATTTGAACCCTATGGCGAGATCGAGGACCTCGAGGTGTACTACGACAGTGCCACCGGGAAGAGCAAAGGATTTGCTTTTGTGCAGTTCCGTCGTGCCGACGACGCACAGCGTGCGATGGAGCGGCTCAATGGGCACGAGCTGGCGGGACGCCAGATGCGCATCGGCACATCGAACTCGCGTGCGATGGGCCCCGGGTCCGCTGCGGCACCGTTCCATGGGTTTGGGCATCGTGGACCAAATGGCGCAGTGCCCCAGCTCACCTCGACGTTCGATGAAGGAGGCGGTGGCGGCGTGAACTCGTCGTTGAAGCGCCACGAACTCATGGAGAAGCTCGCCCGCAAGGATGCGGCGTCGCATAGTGGGCCGTGCGTTTCCGTGCGCGGACGACACTCACCAGCAGGGTACGCCCGGACACAATCCCGGAGGCGCGCAGCGCTGCGCTTGTCATGAAGAACATGTTTAACCCCGCCGAGTATGTATCCCCGGTGTTCCGCCTGCGCTCGCCGCGCTGCCCTCCACGCCATCCCTTTCCTTGCCGACGTCCTTCTAACCAGCAGGGAATCTGACCCGAACTGGGACACGGAGCTACGGGACGACATCAAGTCAGAGTGCGAGAGGCATGCGCCCGTCACGTTCGTGCGCGTGGAAAAGGAGAGTCCAGACGGCGAGGTTTACGTCTGCTTCGATGACGCCTCTGGTGCGCAGCGCGCGCGGACAAGCCTGAATGGACGCTTCTTTGGCGGCAAACGCATTGAAGTGAACTTGTATGTGGAGGGCGGAGCCTGGGCTGACGGGCAGCATTGGCGAGGCGTTTGTTCGGGCCAAGATGGGATAGCGTTGGGAATGGCACCGTGCTGTGGCGCCACCGAAGAGTGCCCTTTTTCTCTGGCCATGGATGCTTTTGCGCGGCTGGAGAATATACCCGCGCTCTTACTGCTGTAGCCTATGGATAGTCGTCGTGTGGTCGTCAGTGGCCCACGTGACCGCGCAGTTGTTCTCCACCTGGCTGGCCGGTGCGCGACGCAAAAAAAAAATTGGATGTCTGCGTGCAGGACCCTCCGCGCTGAGCATGGCAGAAAGCTCTGCGGATGCGGGGGCCCCCATGCTTGTGGGAGACGGGAAAAAGTGGCCATGTAATGCACCGGGATGCAACAAGGTATATGCCAAAGAGGCACGCCTCATTGAGCATCGCCGGTCGCACACGGGTGAGGTACGCAGGCGACGAAGCGCCTCTGACCGGGCAGCGCCCATTTGTGTGCACGCACGAGGGATGCAGTATGTCGTACATGCGTGCGACACACCTCGCGGCACATATGCGCTCACACATGGATCCGTCACTGAAGCAATACACATGTCCCCATACGCCATGCGATAAATCGTTCTGGACCAGCCAGCACCTCCACCGACACATCGTCTCGTGCCATACGGGCGACAATGGTGTCCGCGGCGTCGCAGCGGAGGACGTGGCGGATGCAGTGGGCGATAAGTCCAAATCCGGTCTTTATATGGTGCGGATCCGTGCGTGCGAGCGGTGCTTACGGCAGTGCGATTACCGTGGCTGCGGGCTGCTCTTCTCCAAGCGCAAGCATCTCCGACAACACATCCGTGACGTGCACGCATCCGCATGTGCAACCGAAGGATCGAGCAACGTGGCGGCGCTCCCGCACGCATGCACGTTTGACGGATGCAGCAAGCGCTTTCCGACGAATGCGAAGCGGCGACTGCATGAGAGAGTCCACGACCCGAGCCGCTACGTATGTGTGCTGCCGCACGGACCGCCGCCGCCCACACATCCCCCGCATACTGTCGCAGGAGCAGATCCCTGCGGTGCATGGCGCTTTGCGACATGGACCGACTTGCAGAAACACACGCGCCTATGTCATCCTCCGCAATGTCCTTGGCCGGGATGCGAGGGACGGACATTTTCAAACGGCGATAACCTGCGCCGGCATCTGTATCTGCACCGCAGGCGGGAGAAGGCGGACGCATCCGACGAGTCATTTGTGTGTCCGTGGAATGGATGCGGGCGCTCGTTCAGCAGCCAGTATGCGATGACTACGCACCATACCAGGGTGCATCTGCGCGAGAAACCATTCGCATGCAGCGAGTGTGGAGAGCATTTCGGGTACAAGCATCTGCTGCAGCGGCACCGAAACCACTGTCCCACGCGCAGGACAGAGAAAGGCGCGCATCATGCGGGAATGGAGACACCATCCCCGACAATGACGAACTTGGAGCGCCTTTTCCATGGCAATGCCAGCGGCGGTGCGGCAAGGCGGCAAACACGCAGCCGTATTTTGCAGTGTCCCTGGCAACTCATATGCGCGCAGGGAGGGCTGACGCGCCATGGAGAGCACGTCGGACCCGGAGGAGTGCCCGAGGGCACAGAAGGAAAAAGTGCATGGAATGTGTGCACACGACAATTCTCCCGGCTCTATGACCTGCGTCGGCATCTGGCGAGCGCCCATGCGCTACAGCTTTCCGATCGTGAACTGATCATGCTGATCCCTGACATGGATGTGGAACGGCTGCCGTCACCGCGCCGCGCCAAGCGGGCGTACGGAGAGATGGCGGCGGAGGAGGAAGAGCCGGTAGAGGAAACGGCGGGACGGAGAATCGGAGCCAAGGGGGGAGGGGTGCGGACGAAAGAGGCCAGGGAAAGCGAGAGCACAAGGGAGGGAGAGCACGAAGGAGGGAGAGCACGAGGGAGGGAGAGCACGGGGGAGAGAGAGCACGGGCGGGAGAGCACGGCCGAGGGGGCAGGACACGGACGAGTAGATACATAAGCGAGGGGCACGGAAGACGCCGCTGACAGCGGATGCGCGACGGCACCAAACAAATCCAGAGACGCCAACCCTCGCACCACATCAGAAACATAACACATGTACTATCAGAATTGGTATACGCACTCCCCCCCCCCTTACATGACGCCCGAGTGACGCGCAGTCTGCAACTGCATCATCTCAAACTCGAGCGCACAGAGCAGCGCTCGGTTGTGTGCCGATGCAAGCTCCGTCTTCCGCAGTGTATTGACGATCTCCCGTCTGGCGGTTTCCACACGCTGATTGGTGGACCGCTGCAGGGGAATGAGGAGGCCCAAGTGATGGGCCTCGCGCTCTTCCTTGGCCAGTATTTTATTCCACGACTCCTGCCGCCTGCAGCAGTCCGCATAATGTCGGCGCACCACGTGCAAGGTGCGCGCCAATTGGGTGTCCCTGTGCTCGGCGAAGGCCTGAGCGGCGAACACCGTGTCTTGCGCCGCACAGACCTCTTGGAGCGACGCGAGATCTAGCCACGTGAGATACCTCTTGCGGCCAGCCGGGATGTGCGCGAACGACGCCGCTGGGTCGCACTCGGCACCAGTCTGCGCCATCGGGAAGGGACCCGGGAGCCCGACGCCGTACCGCAGGTGGCCCTGCCTGTATTCGCCCGCAGCGAAGTCGCTTGCGTCGTCCCACGTCAGCCCCGCTGCACAAAGGCTGCTCAGGTACGAGCACAGGTCCAACCACGTGTCCACCGTGCCGCTCCCGGGCTCGGGGCGCACGTGTACACTGCGCTGCGCAGTCGTAATGCACAGGGACTTGTGGTCCGCGTCCTCGACGGAGAAGCGCGCGTCCCGCAGCGGCACCACCTCGTCCACACGCAGCAGCACCGGGGAGTCGTCGCCATCCTGTGGCGCGGTCAGGCCGAGCCCAAAGAGGCCTAGTCCACACGAGCGCTTCGCGGCATACCCACGGAGTCGGCCCTGCAGTACGCGCGTCGCCGCGACGTCCTTCATCCACAGCAACGCAGAGCCAGTAACAACGAGAC